CACTCCCAGCTTCGACCCCCCCCCTCTCCCCTCTCTGCCATGCACAACCATGCACAAAGATTAAACCTCACTGTCTATTTATATATAGATAACACTTTAAATCACATGTCGTGAACTAAAAACTTTTAATTCTTACGCAAAAGTATTTCTTTATTCTTTCATCCGTATAAAAATTGTAACTTTTTTGAAAAGTGAATCCCGGGCCCAGAGAAGCACTATACTCAGGCAGTTTTGGTGCACCAAGTATACCTTTCCTCAGTACCTATACCGCTGCCTTAGTGCAACAGTGATATGCGCGCTAGGGGCGCACTCCTCCTAGATGACGCAATATATACGCGTATACTACACCGGTTAGAGAAACTAAGTAGTTCTCAATTAAACTGTAATTGTTTTATTGCATGTTTTTCATTCTTTCTTTCGGTAAGAGTAGTTATAAGGACTTTAAATCAATTCAGTTTAATCTAGTTGTTGTACCGTTGTACAATTGTACACCTGTATATATATATATATATACTAGACCTTTGTTTAGTACCCCTCCCAATTAGCTTTGTGGAGTAGGACACAAAAGAATTGTTGGAAATGTGTTTGTAACAAAAAGTAGTTGGCTGCGCAACAAAATATACTTGTACACATTGGATTTGAACTTCAGTGTAATTTCTATAGTGATTTTGAAATAAAAGATCAAATCAACAACGATCATCTTAGAACCGTCTAGACGTATAGATGGATTATCAACATCTTATTTAAACAACAAAAAATCAAAAAAAAAAAAAAAATTTATTCATTAATGTAGAGTTAAGTACACCTTTATTATAATGTTTAGCTTATTGATTTTACAGTTTACACCAACCCTTTACATAAAGGGTCAATTTTAACAATTTTAATGGACAATTTGAACCAATAATATGTTTCCATTTCGTTTCCATTCGCTCGTCCTTAATACCGTATTCTAAAATTTTCTTCTTCTTTTCATTGTCTTTTCTGATCATTTTGATTCATTCAGTCTTTGTGCATTATCTACAACTTTCTTTCACTATTTCTTATAAACTTTAAGTTCTTTTTCTTCTTCTTTGTTAAGATCATTTCTATCTTTTTGCCTATTTCAGGGGACATTAGTTCCAGACCGGGGAAATGGACACTTAATGTTAGAAATGAGACAAATCGCACTTAGCAACTAATTTCCCCTGTATTTGGTAAACCAACTTGAAATCCGTGAATTAAACTTGTTGATTGTGAAATTTCTCTTATTCCATTCCAAAGCGTTTTAATGTAAAAAAATACCCTTTTTTATCAATATTTTGAAGACGACTTTTGATTTAAATTTTGATTTATATCAAGCTTTTAAACAGCATTAATGCTCAAAAACATCGAAACAAAGAGAAGCTGTCTACTAAAAAAGCTTCTTTTTAATTACTAGTAAACTTATCATTCAAAAAAAGTTTGTTAACAATAAAAACTTCGTTCTCATTTTATTGACATAATCGCCTACCACCGTATAAAATAAGAGTAATTATTTGAAAAGTGGGGACTGATGTGTTTTTTACATTAACAAAATTATATTTTTATTTAATTTTCGTGTATCAATAATAAGCTTCAGTTCTTACCAAAATATACTTAAAATCAAAGTTTAAGGCCAATGTATATTACCTTAACCTTACTCTAGATGATATTTCTATGAAGATTACCAACATATATATCAGCAAATGACAAGATTTATAGTTCATATTGGTAGCAAGCAACAAAGAATTATGCTTAAGAAGACCAACTTTAACCTTCAGATAATTGCTTTTACTAAAATCTCATGTTTTGAGGGTATCCTGTCATCCACATAGAATTGAAATATGTTAATGAAATAATTAAACAAAATTATAAAGCATAAATTATGCATCACTTCCAGTTCATATAACGGAACAATGTGGATTTAATACACTATTCAGTTAGATTTCAAATCTGATTTTTTTATATCATTATTTATTAACGAAAAGATATTTTATATTTTGATTTTGATATAATTTTTTACAGAAAACTCTAAATATGAAACTAAATTGATTAGTGACCGTTACTTACTTATTTTCATTAAGGTTTTGTTATATTAGTATTACTACTTAAACAATTTTTTTAACCGATTTATAAGTAAATATTTAAAGAGGATCGTAAAATTTAACGGTTGTTTAAAGCTTAAACAAATATCGTATTTTGAATAACTTGTGAAGTTTATGTGAAAAAACATTTTACAGGTTGATCTAAAATTTCTTGACCTATTCATAACTAACTGAAGTGCCTGGCGTTGCCCATGAATTTGAAAAAATCGATTTAAAAAAAATTTGATCTTTAAATAAAATGTTTTTGCCTATGTTACCCTTACCCCTAGGGTACCGGTATCCATGGGTTCCCTCAAAAAAATTTCAGCCGTTCGGCCAGCTATAGCTAAGATATATATATATATATATATATAACTAATAAAGCAATAATCAGAACAGCTTCTCAGTTTTCATATTTATTAATACAAATTGTTTCAGATCTCTCGATCCTCATCAGTCAATAAACATGTGTTAACATATATATATATACACATATATATATACATATATATATATATATATAGGTTTTTATAGATTGACATAGATTGTAAAAAAAGTATTAACCCTTAATCATTTTTTAAAAATACTAAACGAAAAGGTTGGATAAAGAGGAAAAGATAACTAGCTGATATCAACCATTTTCCCATTTTCCGATGATATCTTAATATGAACGTTTTTAATTGCAACTTTATTATAATTATAGTTACAATACTACTTCACCCTGTATTAACAGTATAGTGATTCATGAGCCATATATATATTGAATTTCACTGATAAGAGTTATTTCAGTAAACTTCTAACTTTACACAGCTTCAAATGAAAAAAACTTTATTCAATAAGCATTGTCGTCTTCTATAAGCAATAATCATACTGGTACAGGATTTCCCAAAAACTTTGTATAATTTTTGATACATAAGTAATTATAACAACCTTCTTGAAACAGCAATATAGAAAAAGTAGATTTTTAAAACTTACTCAGCAAATTTTAAAATTCAACAATCAACATTGACGGAGATATTAGGAATTGTGTCCATCAATTTCACAAATGCAAACAATTGATCACATTTTTGTCATTTATTAACCATCTGATATTAAAGACGATTTTGAAGTCTTCCCTGAAATCTCATTTTTATTCGAACACTCTGTAGCATAAATCTTATTAAGAATCATAAACTACAAAAAATAATTTTTTGAAAATATAATTTTTTTTTCTTTACATTATGAAGATAGGTTTTGTATAGGACTAAAAATAATGAACAAAAATTTGACCGTGTCCCCTCTGAATTGCTATCTAAGTGTGCCCCTCTTCCCTCCCTCTAGCTACAACTTTAGTATGCCCCTTCGATATAGTGTACACTGTACTGTACACAGTACAGCTAAATATAGAAAACAGTTAACTAAGAACTACTTGCGAAAAAATGGGACGATTATGTAAATTTTAAATCTGTAAAGTTGATCTCATCTCATAGATAAGTTTTACCTAGAATTGTTTTTTTTATCAAGGATTGCATAATTAGGATTCGAATATAGAAGAAAAAAACTTATATTTTGCGTAATTGAACCAAGGAACTTCACATTTAAGTTATAATACGTAGTGAAAATAAATACAAAATTCATTATGAGCCAGATGCCAATTAATTATGAACTTATTCTTTATTCACTTTCTTCTAGATTTCTATTTCCAATTCTTCTGCGTTCATTGAATATCTTTTACTAGACTTATCCGGTTGTCTATTCATTTTCTGGTAATTTCGTGAGAGGAATTTTCGAACCGTCCCCCCTCCCTTTCGTAAAAAAGGCCAAGTATAGCTTGTGGCCACAGCGCTCGGTCCCCTAGCTTGTCCTAGACGCAGTGCCCGAAAATTGCCTTAACTAAGCCTTACTCTGGAAAAATACCTAATATTGCATGTACGGGGGGGGGGGGCCGGGGGAGATCCAAAAATATTTCTTTCACATATTTCTTGGTTAGTTTATTATATAGATAAAATCTAACACACACAATGACAATCGATTTTTAATGGAGTCTCATGAAGTGTCATGACATCATCAAGTTTAATGACGTCATCTAAAGCCTACACAACCCAACCCATTGGGTTTCTTGGAACTAAAACTTTCCCCTTTTATATATACATACCTGGTGGCCTTATGCTTGACGTAGGATTGCTGTAGAATCATAAGGTTTACTTCTTACTATAAGTTTAATTTTGTAAATTACAAAGTCAAGAAATTAAGTAAGTCCCCCTGGAAAAATTACTTAAAAGTCTCTTGTACACAGTACATCGTACAACGTGTACATACATTAAACTTTACATATACATTACATTACACTTTGCATGTAGATTACACTGGACATGTACAATTCAATACACTTTCCATATAAATAAGGGTGTACATGTACATAAGACTGTGTATGTGCATAACACTGTACATGTACATAACACTCTACATAACACTTTACATGTACATAACACTGGAAATGTTCATACCACTGTACATGTGCATAACACTGTACATTTTCATAACAGTGTATATATACATAACACTCTACATGTACATAACACTGTACATGTACATTACACTGTACATGTACACTTCACTGTACATGTACAGTTCACTGTACATGTACACTTCACTGTACATGTACACTTCACTGTACATGTACACTTCACTGTGCATGTACACTTCACTGTGCATGTACACTTCACTGTGCATGTACACTTCACTGTACATGCACTCTTCACTGTATATGTACACTACACTGCACATGTACTGTACATGTCCATTACAATGTACATGTACAATACACTTTAAATGTACTGTACATGGACACTAATGTTCAATATGTTCAGTTTACTGAATGCGCTACACATTTCCTGTGTTATGGAACATATAACTACAAAATTTGAAGTCCTGGATTAATCTAGGATTTTCGACCTCTCTGGCAATAACAGATATCGGTTGGAGAACGACAGAAGCATATGCTTTGAAAGTTTTAAAATAAACTATTTTGGATTACTCACAAATGCATCATTGCAAGTTAGATGTATATTTTATTTACATTAAAAGCCGAGTTGAATCTACCAACCAAAAGTGCGTAATGATTAATTGATTGTCGTAGAGAACGTCGTCTTTGTATATACATTTTACACGTTTTAATACGAAAAATGTAAAGTTATTGCTAACTCAAACATCAAAAGTTTTTATATTTAGTATATAATAGCTAACACATAATGGCATTGAAATATTATAAATTAAAATTTGTTTGGACTGTTGTTGCGTTTCAGACAAAGGGACCGTCTCTTTGCGCTTGAATTCTGAACGAAAAATCGGCCTTTTCTCCGGCTACTTTGTCTTTTAAAAGTAAGACTAATACCAATTAACAGCTAATAGGCTATTTAGTTTACCATGTAATTACCCAAATAAGTGAACGGTCCCTTTAATGAGCTGGCCTTAATAAATAGAATTTGGGCTAGAAATTGATTCAGACCACAGCTTTTACAGGTTCAATGAACAATTATATATGAATGACGCATAAAGTTGAATATTGCGTATCAGAGGTTAAGCACACCGTGGTTAGTTTTCCAAATTTTTGATTCCGGACACTAATTACTGGGTAGGGAGGAGAGGATAGGGGAGGGGAGATGTATAGTCATTTTTAGTTTGTCCAGGGTTTTACAACAATATACTAAAAATTAGTTAATATCAAAAATAAATCATTTAATAAATTAATGTCGGTAACTCCATCTTAACTCCATCTATAACAATTATACAGTGCAGTTTATTTAGTTTTATGTGACAAATTAAGTGATGTGATCGTATTCAAAGATTTTCCTAATGTTAAAGATACTGCACATCAGAAATATACCTGAATATTGCATACGGTGCGGTGTATACACCTGTTTTTGACGACATTTGTCGCAGTTTTCTAAATCAAGCGATCAACATTTGATTTTGAAGTATTCAATTAGAAATATATAAGGCGTATGTGCTAAAAATTGTTGGAAACGAGAGATTCTCAAAATTTGATGGAGTTTTGAAAAAGGCAACTTGTTCTTGTGACATCTTTTTCAAGATAATCAAAGTTTTTATTTGCTCACAGAAGCGTACGTACACCTGGCCCACTAGTCAAATGTAGGATTTTACGATAAATTTAATTGTACAAAAAATTAAACCTTTCAGGCTTCTCCCATGTACCTTAGGTAAAATATTTACGATTAGAATCAAATATTAGGTGTACATCCTAAAAAGATAATTGAGTATCTTAGTTTTGCCCTTGTTTTACTAAATAAATTTTTTTTATTAATTCCGTATTCCCATTTTTCTAACAATTACTCTTAAAAACAGCATTCAAAGGTCTAAACTGAACAAATAAACTATAAGGCCGGATTCTACATGTCAGACATGGCAGACATAAAGTTTAATTCTTCAAGGCTCACAAAATGGTAGGAATAGGATATCACGGCAAATAAGCATTGGAAATATTATCTTAAGCATAAAACGATGAAAAATGATTTAAAATCATGCTTTTTCTGGTTCGTTTTACAAATTATTGAGTGAAATATTCAAGCTAGACAATACTGCAAGAGTGCAAAACATACCAGTCTTACTGCAGAATCCGACCCTATGTTTAAATGGTGTTTTTATGGGCAATTGACAAAAAATAGGATTACGGAATTATTATCAGTATTTGTATAAGAAGACAGGGACAGAACTATGATTCTCAATTATCTTTTAAGGCTTTACACCAAATAATTCTTTCTCTTTATGAATCTGTTACCTAAGGTACCTAGGAGAACACTGTAAGGTTAGATTTTTTGTACAAGTTTTATCTTAATTTGACTAGTGATGGGCATGATATCTTAAGGTAAATTTTTTGTATCAACTATATTCAAAGAAAACCAGTTCCAAGTTTAATTTGGATAAACTATTAGATAAAAATTTGATTGGTGAATTTTTAATAATAAGTGTAACGAATCCAACCTGCAATGGATAGTTGCATCATCTCAAAGCCTGCTGTCGATTTTCTTATGTCGTCGTAAATATAATATACGTTTTTTTCCAGAATATCTTTATCAAAATGGAACAGCGTGAGATTGAAGATGTTCAAATATCAGATCAGAACTTTAACTGTGTATTTTTTAAGGTACCTGGATATATTATCAGTTCCCCCACCACACTTTCCACTCAAGCTTAGAAATGTACCTTGCTTCAAATATCTTAGTCTAAAACTTCAAATACAAATTTTTAGACTTATTCCTACCTATCTCTGTGTGCAAATTAAATATTAAACACGTCTCTTAGCGTCTAAAAAAATCAGGATAACCGATTAAAATTGATGTTCGCATAAGGACTCTTTGTGACTTTTTACATTACATTGGGAAAAAATTACGCCCAAAGATATATTGTTGTTATTTCGAGGATCCTTTCTTACATTTGTATATTACATTGTGTGTGCCGTGTTTGTTTTCAATATTCATATCAAATTAAAAAATCAAATTTTCCAGCTCAAAAGCATGAAACATAACCGAAGGAAACTTGCCTTATAAATCTACTTTAAGTGAAAACAATGAAGTGGCGTTACTTGGGTACTTAGATGGGGGGGGGGGGGGATTTGTTGTGTAAAATTTTTTGTGAAATAACGCAAACATTTAATTTGAGAAAAAAATTTTAGCCTTTCGAGTTTGTATGAAAAAAGTCATAAATTTTCTCCATTTTCCGTTTTTTTTTTGGAGGGCTGATGTTACCGTAAGGGTGCCCCCCACCCTTCCCCTAATTGCATCTGTAATAAAAAGATGTGAAAAGCAATTGTTCAATACAATCGTTTTTGTATCGTTTTTGTTTATTGTTTTTTCTCTCAGGTTCAAAATTTGTAAACTAAACAAAGATGAAACTTGTAGAACTTCTCAGATTTTTGTGAAACCTCGTAAAAGTCGAAAACCCGGCTTTTGAAAAATGAAAGCTATGTCCCATTAAACGATAGTTTTTTTGTTTTTCAATCGTTTTCAATAGCGATCGTTTCGTTTTCGAAAAACGACCCGCTGGTTTTGAACTTTTACAAAACGAATAAAACGATTTGCGACCGTTTTTTTAATACGATTGTTTTTTTTAAATTCCTTTTTGAAAAAACGATCGTTTAAAAACAATATTGACAATTATGTTAACGATCGTTAACGAAGGGTCGTCGTTAATGATCGCTAACGAAACGCAAACGATCGTTTTTGAAAAAAAATACATGCAACTTTCTTGAATGTCGTCTTACATGAAGTTAAACAGTTGTGGGGGAGCTAAAACTTTTTGATGTTTTCTTAAAAACTACTGAATGATAAGTACATATGACCTTCAGGTCGGTTTCCGATCGTTAACGAAGGGTCGTCGTTAACGGTCGTTAACGATCGTTAACGAAAGGTCGTCGTTAACGATCGTTATCGAAGGTTCGTCATTAACGATCGTTAACGAAGGGTTGTCGTTAACGAAGGGTTGTCGTTAACGAAGGGTCGTCGTTAACGATATTTAACGAAATGACGAGTTTTATTAAACGATCGTTAAGAAAAATGATCGTTTTTAAAAACGATCGTTTTAAAAACGGCCATTTTTGAAAAACGAACTTTTTTAAAAACGTCGTTTTCGATTTTTCGTCGTCGTTTTCAGAATGAAACGATTGTTTTTCAAAAAAAAATGAAAAAGTTGAAATCCCTAGGTACGAGTAGTTAAATAGCGTTTTGTGACCGATTAATCTTAAACCAGACAGACCTAGTTAGTTCATAATTTCCCAACTCTGGTTCCAATTATTTTTTCGATAAATAGGGAGACCTAGTTGTTTTTAATTTCTTACTTTATAATTCTTTGTTTCCTAAAAAGCTACAGGGTGTCCCACGAAACATGAAAGTTAATGAATAGTTTAAATGTCTTCTTTCGTAAGTTGTTTAGATATTTGATACTCATCACGAGGAAGGACTCATTGTAGTAAAATTGATTTCAAAGTAAAATATATTCGGGAAAAATTTGTGTTAACGAAATAAATTGCAAAAAGTTTTAACTTATAATCAAGTATATGGAAGAAGACATTCAAAACTATTCACCAACTGTCATGTTTCGTGGGACACCCTGTTTCTTTTTTTAACTATTCTAGACTATATTATTCTATCGATTATACCATGAACTAACTTTTTTATTATCTCCAGACCAACCTTCGGAAAATGCGGGTAGAAGTCAAGAACAGGGAAACAGTCAAGGGTGGTGAACAAATCAAGGTCAAGAATGCAGTTCATGGAAGGGGAAAAACAGCTTGCGAGGAAGAATCTTTAATAGCTGGTAAAAAAAAATTACGGAAATGTTGTTAATGGTTAAATTTTTAATTTTTCTAATTTCTAGTTTAGTTCACAGAATTTATAGGATTTGTTAAATACACTTTTTATATTAGATTCTTGTTTAGTTTTAAGTAACCGACTTTATTTATTGAGTTAAACATAAAAACTTTAATGTGGCAAAAATTAATACCTAGTTTTTCTATCTGAAAATTGATAATTTACGATTACGGTTCTCTGTAAAAATGACTTCCGGATATATGAAGCACGGACACGACAGGATACCGGCGATATCTTTCTCAATTTTACTCTGAACAATGTTCAAAGAGAAATTATGTAACTTCATGTAACTCGTTAACTGGAGTGACAATCTTGACACTTGACTGGTTATCTTTTTACACAGATCTTTGATAAAAATTTTAAATGAAAGAATAAAAGTTGATTTTGTTCTTTCCAAATTTTGTATTCAATGCTTTAAAAGCTTTGATATTTGTACCTAGATAAGTTTGCGGTGTTGTACAGAGAACATCCTGATGTACATAAATCAATTTCTGAGTTCCAGCAGTTCAATTCTACCGTACAGCAGGCAATACACAGATTAACATATTTGTGCATATTCATCTCATTTTATTCAGAACATTTTTTTATCGTAATATTAACAAAAATTTGTTTTGAAAGTTAGTCCATTAATTTTCTGTAAAAGAATAGAAATTGCATAAATATAAAAGTGATCTTGAGTTAACATAAGTTGTGAATCATGGGATCATGCAATCATCTCCATCTTACGCAGAACTTCGAATTCATTTAAGTCGTCGTCGATATCCTATGGTGGTCAAACCCTGCCGGGATAACAATTGAGAGATTAAGCATTGATATTCAATTTCAAAAGGACTCACATTGGATATCTAGCTCAAGCTTTAAATATAACTGATACTACAAACATAAAATTCAACTTCAGATATTTATATTTTGGGAAATCAACTTAAGAAAAAGACCAATTTATATTTGTAAACGTATAAAATTAATATCTGTTTTGTTATTCAGTTATTTATTGGAAATAAAAAGTAAACACTCATTTATAAAATATGATTTTGAGGACAAAATGTATGCAGGCATCGTCGTATATATCAATACAATGAAGACGACTTTAGATTTTAATTTTTAATTTTCCAAAGCTTTTAAACAGCATGGATACAGTACATATAATATGAAAACAAAGAGAAGCTTGCAATTTACAGCTTCCCTTTTGTTCACTTGTAATTTAAAAAAGCTTGTCAGAAGTCAAAACTAAAATAAAAAGTTATCTTTATTGTATTGATAGAAACGCTGACTACCGTATTTCAGTCTCAAGTGGGCTGCTTTGGTTCGGTCTTCTTAGGAAAAAATATTTTAATTTTTTTGTTGTCATTAAAACTGTGTAATTAACCAGGATATATCTGGTAAACTGGCAGGATTCTCAGAGATTGCTCACACAGACAGATTTAAAAGGTTAAACAAAGTTTTAAGATTTAAAAATCAAATCATTCTCTTTAATCAATCAATTTCTATTTCAATAACAGGAACGTGCTTAAAATATTTTTTTTTTTTAAATGTATGGATACATTTTTGTTTCCTATTTTCTTTGAAACAATAGAACGAAAGACAAAGAAGTCGAATTAAAAATCATTTAAAACAATGAAATTCAGCAATTTTAATTTTAAAATTCCGAGAAAAAAGTTAGATGGACTCAAAGTGCGGTAGAATAAAAGGAATTCAAATTAGTGACACTTAAACTTTGAAACTGTCTTAGATTTAAAAAAATGAATTAAACTTATTGTGACATGGAAATGGAAGTCTTTGATTTAAAAGAATAAAGTTTTTAATAATATGATTGTACGACGCCTTAGCTTTAATTGTAGTCTACACTCATTCTTTATTAAGTAGGGTGATATTTAAATTTTTATGTTTGAAAATTCCAAAATTGGGCAATAATTTTTTTTTTTTTCAAATATGTTTCTGTGTAGAGTTCAACATTTTTTTATTTTAGAGTTTATTTTTGAAAATATTTGTCATGACAACCGTTATACAACATCCTTGTTCACAGATTTCACAGAAATTCTTTATGAGATTTCGTTTTTTACTAATGATTTTACATTCTATTGCATTGCGTAGTAAAAACAGTTTCGTTGCTGGCTTATTACGTAACAGTGAAATTTGTACACAACTCATATGTAAGCTGATATAAAAATTAAAATTAAGTTTTCCGGCTAAAAAATATTTTTAACATATTCAATTTTATTTTATTTAAATTTTGAGAAAATTCTATAAATATTTTAAAATGAATGCAGCTGCAAATATTTTGACATTTTTTTCTCTAGATCTCCATTCTTCTAGATTTCCTAGATCTCATCTCCTAGACCTCCTAGATCTCCTAGATCTCCTAGATCTCCATTCTCTTCTTGTTGTTTGTCATCTTATTGGGCTAAATTTAGGAAATATTTTTATCTGAAAATAAATGTTTGTAGGTCTGACCGAGCATATGTGAATATCCAGATGTTTATGTTGAAACGATATCTCAGAAGGATTCAACATTTTCAAAACAACATTCTTCTTTCTCAAACTAAATTAATGGTAGATATTTTCAACATCATCAATAAAATCGGTTTTCAAAGGGAAAAAAGTTTAAATTTTTTTCCAAATGTTACCCATCAGCCCATTAGGCCCAGTCGTTTGGCTGGCTATAGCCGACTTATTTATATGAGCGAAGAGATATATAATAAATATAGATAATGAAAGTGGACTTGAACCATGAAAATGTAAAAAAAATTTAGAAACTGAACATTTTTCTCAAAATTTTTTTTTTATCTCCACATCTTTTCACCCATATAGTGTTACCCTTTGATATTTATACTTTTGACAGTTTGATCTAGCAGAATAAATAATTTAAAACACCAAAGGTTGCTAAGATATTTGAATTAGAAAAAATTAAGAATATGGTTCCCTTAAAAATTTTGATAGAAAAAATAAACCGATCACAATTCAGTTATATTTTGAGAGAAATTTTATTTGAACGTTTTGTTAAAAAGATTCACAACAAATTTGTTAAGGAGAGCCTGGAAACTGGAGACCCAGATGTGATTAAACAACAGAAAAATATGCATTTTCTTCTAGGTATATATGTGCCTTCATTTCTTTGTAAATTGTTAAAGGGACTTGACACGTAAATTTAAGTTACTCTGCTGGTATAGTGGCTTCATTTCTTTGTAAATTGTTAAAGGGACTTAACACGTAAATTTAAGTTACTCTGCTGGTATAGTGGCTTCATTTCTTTGTAAATTGTTAAAGGGACTTAACACGTAAATTTAAGTTACTCTTCATTTGCAAAGCTGCATTTTCAGTACCCTTTAAAGCTTTAATTTTGTTTCAAACTCCGGTTTTCAAACCCCATTTCAGGGGCACATATGTGAGGGGCGCATTTTTGAGGGGCACATTTTTTAATTTTGTGAATAAGTATTTATAAACATGCCTCAGAATTCCAAGTTGAAAACTATTTTGCTTCTGTAAAAGTGGAAACAGAAAAATGTTTCATCCCTAATGTCAGATTAAGGGTATTATTGTGATTACTGAAAATGACAAAGACACTCCCTTTAACTAATTTTACATACGAAATAAAATACACATAGACAATAATGAATTTTTATATGTAACAGATAATAATAGGAAAACAATGTGATTGCAAAATTTGTATTTTGGAATAAAGTTACATAATCAGCTCTGCTAGAACAAGACAATCTAAAATTTATTTTAAAATGAAGTCAGTATTTCTTAAATGTTTGACATATCTTACTTGTTATACAGGAAGCTTAACATATTATGGAATGTGTACTTACGTAACGATTTTCAGCCGAACGTACTTAAGTTCATAAAACAATTTTCTCCTCTTCAATGAAAGATTGAAGTTTACATCAGCATATTCGGAGGCCACCGGAGGGAAAATATTTTCAACGGGGGGAATAAACATTTTTTATTTAATTTTTATTACTCCATCGGAGGGATAATAATTTACACTCAGCACACTGATTAATCCACCGGAGGGATGGTAATCGCCGCTCAGGACACTAAGTACTTCACCGGAAGTATGCTAATTAACACTCAGAACACTAATTATTCCACCACAGGAAAGATAATTAACACTCCGAACGCTAATTACTCCATCAGAGGGATGGAAGTTAATACTCCGGACACTAATTACTCCACCAGAGGAATGGTAATTAACACTGACGACACTAATTACTCCATCAGAGGGATTGTAATTAACACGCAGGACACTAATGACTCTACCGAAGTGGTAATTACCACCCATGCGATGGAGTGATTAGTGTCCTGACTTTTAATTACCATCCCTCTGATGGAGTAATTAGTGTCCAAAGTGTTAATTATCAACCCTCCAATGAAGTAGTTAGTGTTCTGAGTGTTTATTACCATCCCTCCGTTGGAGTAATTAGTGCCCTGAGTGTTAATTACCATCTATTATATGGAGTAATTAGTGTTTTGGGATGAAGTATTTAGTGTCTTGAGTTTTAATTACCATTCCTCCGATGGAGTAATTAGTGTTCTGAGTGTTAATTACCATCCCTCTGATGGAGTAATTAACATTGAATAAATAAAAACATTCCCTCCGGTAGCCTCCGCTACAGGGGAGGGTAACCCAATATGCTGCTGCAAACTTCAATCTCTCCATTTAAATCCCCTAAAAATTTGACAATTTGTATGATTTGGTTAAAATACAAACAAATGCTTTTAATAGAATGTACTTGCATGAAATTAAAACTCCTATTGTGCTCTACATTTTTATTCAAAACTAGCTGAAGGGCCCGGCGTTGCCCGAAAAACAATTTTGAGGAAAATAAATTTCGAATTTGGTTTAGCCTATAACACTCCCCGGCCACCCTTGAGTGTCCACAAAAAAATTCAGTCCAATCGGTCCAGCCGTTTGGCTGGTTATAGGCAATATATATATATACAAATGTCTTGTTTTTTTATTCAAAATAATACAATAAATGTTCTATTTTTGTAGTTAACAAACTGAAAACCCGGCTGAAGCATATACTGGACGTGTCAGAGAAGTATGCGACATTAGAACTGTTTGACGAGCTATGCAGGGTGGTCGCCGATATAGATGTCGCAGATATTGACGTGGACGGTCCAGGTGAGTTCTATGCAAATCATAAACCTCATTTTAAGATAAATTAGACACAGGGTGTCCCACAAATCTTGAATTTTTTTAAAATTAGTTTGGCACTCGTTCGTCAATCAACTTGTACATGTGTGATTCTTGAAACAAAAATCACAAAATTCTTCTTATCCTGGCATTTTTAAAATGTGGTCTGCTATTTTTGTGAAGATATGAATTTCATGAATTTCAATTCACAAAACAAGACCAAAATTGAAATTTAAACAAATTTCTTCATATCTCCTGTAATGGTGAAAGCAAAAAAAGGCAAATCACATTTTTTTAATAACTCTAGCATTAAACTTCTAAAACTTGTATCACTTTTTTTAGACTTCCAATCTAAAACTCTAGCACTGCAGAGACAGGCGAGATCTATGGAGGTGCTTACAGACATTGATAGAACAACAAACCTGACATTCAATAATAATCATACTTCACAGCTTTCCCTACCCACATCACAGTCACACACAGCTCTACCTTTCCAACCTTCACTCCCTTCTCTACCTTCACAACCAACCCTGACTTCCCATCCTAGCCAACCAGTTCCGTCTGCTGTATCGGCCAACGCGGAATTTCAAACCACTGCTCCGGCTGGCTCTGCAGCCCAGCTTGCTGCACCGACCGGTTCGTCAGCCCAGGTTGCAGTACCGGTTAGCTCTGCAGTTCAGATCCTGATATCCCCAGCAGTATACCCTTCTTGTCCTACATCAGCATCCAACTCTCCACCCTCCTCCCCTGAATCCGCCCCGGGGGAGGAGGGGCAGGTTAGAAAACGTGCTTCATCAATGCAGTCTCTCCAAGAACATTTATCTGTTCTTAGTAAAACATACAAGAAAACATTTTCAAATAGAAGATAGACGCATTCAGTTCATTTATTTTTCAGAACCAATCAGATAAGACACATTTTGTGCATTTTTTCTCCTGAACCAATCAGATAGACGCATTTCGTGCATTTATTCTCCTGAACCAATCAGATAGACGCATTTTGTGCATTTATTCTCCTGAACCAATCAGATATACCCATTCAGTGCATTTATTCTCCTGAACCAATCAGGTAGACCCATTCCGTGTATTTATTTTCCTAAACCAATCAGATATACCCAGTCCGTGTATTTATTCTCCTGAACCAATCAGATATACCCAGTCCGTGAATTTATTCTCCTAAACCAATCGGATAAACGCATTTCGAGCATTTATTCTCCTGAACCAATCAGATAGAAGCATTCCATATATTTATTTTCCTGAACCAATCAGTGACAGATAGGCACATTCCGTGTATGTATTCAATGCATTTACCCCCCTCCTATTTGATATTCTTTCTTTAAGTTTAAACTTTCCATCGTTTCTAATTTTTCTGGTATAAAATGACATTCCTTTACAAAAAGCTGTATTTAACATAAACCAGCGTAAAAATCTTTCAGGTTTGCGGGATTCAATGAAAATTTTTGCATAACTAATACCCAGCCTTTTTTTATGATTGAATGAATATAAATAACTCATGTCTAATTCATAATTTGATGATTTTCATAACAAAAAACTTTGTGGAGAAATATTAAAAACTTCTGGGGAAATTCATTAAATATAATTGCACTTCCAGTATTCAACGTACCTTAGAACAGATATTAGGTTCCAAACATTAATGTTGGAAACACATTTAGCATTTGCATTTAAAGGCCAACTAATTTGAAACCCCGGTCACATTTTATATTCTTCCATTTTTACAATATTTTTGTGAATCAATAAATAACATGTATTACGCGCGTTTTTAGGCATGATTTTAAATGTTTTCATACATGAAAATGTTTTTATAGCAATCTTAAAAATTTGTAAAAACTGTATGGCTTTCAAGTCTTTGTTTGAGCTTCTAGTAATGAGCTCAGCCAAAAGGCATGTGTAATTGCCAAAATTCTTTATTGGCAGAACTTCCAAATAAATTGTATTGCCAGGAACTAACTGCAGACTTTTATATATAATTAGTTTTAAACTTAAAGACACGGAGGGTTCAAGCTACCAAGAAACTCTGTTTTAACCTACACAATAAAGTTTTAAACACGCCGAAATCAGATTGGAAAGTAAACTATTTTCAAAGTGGTTCAAAAAAGTAAACACCCCGGTTTTAAACAAATTGGTTTTAACTAGTTAACAAAATGGTTTCAAACAAGGAAAAAAATCAGTTTCAAAATTATTCAAACTAGTAAACAAATTAGTTTCAAACTAGAACAAAATTTGTTTCAAACTAGAACAAAATTTGTTTCAAACTAGTAAATATATTAGTTTCAAACTAGTTAACAAATTAGTTTCCAACTTGTTAACAAATTGGTTTCAAACTAGTTAACAAATTAGTTTCCAATTAGAACAAAATTAGTTTCTAACTGTCTACAAATGGGTTTGAAACTAATAATCGAATTGGTTTGAAACTAACAATCAAATTGGTTTGAAACTATTATACAAATTAATTTTAACTAGCTATCAAATTAGTTTCAAACTAGTTAACAAAATGTTTTCAAACTAGTTAAAATAATTAGTTTCAAACTTGTTAACAAAATGGTTTCAAACAAGAAAACAAATCAGTTTCAAACTAGTTCACAAAATGGTTACAAACTAGTAAAACAATTAGTTTCAAACTAGTTAACAAATTATTTTGCTACTTGTTAAAGATTTTGTTGAAAATAGTTAACAAATTTAGCTTCAACAAATTAGTTTCAAACTAGTTAACAAATTGGTTTGAAACTAATAATCAAATTGGTATTTGAATTTGATTTTTCGCTTGCAAATTTAAAAAGATTATTTTAATTTTTGGACTTATTTGCCTGAAGTAATATTAATTTCAAACCAAAGAAATTAAACACCAATTGACACATAATCAACCACAGTCACCCACACATGGGTTTTATTCTGAGATCATAAAATTATTAGAAAAAAAAGGCAACTCTGACCCAGATAAATGTTATTTATATAGTTCTATGGTATAGTTTTTCAGTCAAATTTGTAAACCTGTCTTTATCATGTGATATGACCCAAATGATTTTTTGTGAAAATTATGTGCGACATTAATTCCTCCCCCCCCTTTACCATACCCGTGACCCCTCTAGTGAAGGTCGGATGTACCTGAACATATTTATGATTAAAGAATGTGATATTATTTCATCCAAAAATATATCGTTTTCTATGATTTGAATAATTTATATTTTTAGAGCCTAGGTAGAGATTAATAAAAATACAGATAGAACGCTAGATGTCGTCTGTTTCGCTACTTAGCGATTTTCCTAAAGACCTAATGAAATCTTTATAAGTACCGAGTGGTATTTCTCTGGACAGGATTGTAAGACTTCCTTCTCTCAACGCTCTCCATAACAAAGGGATGATAATAAGGTTCCGAACGTTTATTTTTCTGAGTCTTCAATCTAAATAATCTTTTATAAGCCCACAGAAAAAGCATTGAGTGATAAATCATACAAGCACAGCAATAAATCAACTCAGGCATTAAAAAACTGTGGAATGGAACCAATACATTACATTATAAGATATCAACCATAACCGAACATAAATAAGCAAGATTCATATAAATATAAAGCATAATTACCGCAGTGATCCTAGAATTTCACACGGTTTAATAATAGACGATCTTTACTTGAAAAACAAATATATACTAAGGTAGAATCTGCCCGCTTCCACGCAGAAAACTTGCGCATGCGTAGTCGGTCTGGAAACAGCTTCTAAAACTAGTTTTTACAATACGTTCTGTACAGATCCTCAGGGAGAACTCAGGGATTCATAGGGGCATCACATAGACTTTATGAACGCAGCATGGCTCGCGTAACATCGTCTTTTCAAGATTTAGGGGTTTTTCGATAACAATAACCCAAAGGAATTAAACGATTTCAGTGGAATTACGTCAAAAGAGAGCTTGCGCGCAATTCTTTTGGGTATCTGCCTGAAGGTTATTGTGAACGAAAAACTCAAAGCTTGAAAAGACGACATCTAGTGTTCTATCTGTAGTGTAGGGTTGGAAGAAAACTAGCAGAGTTGGTTAAACAGATGATTAAGTATGTTAATATTTAACATAAGGGACTGGGAGTAGGCGTGAGTATAAGTAACTCTCAGTTTATAAAAGGTGGATTTCGAACCACAACGGTACCCGTTAAAGCTGTGTCTAAACAACAGAGCACAACCAACAATTTTCTATTTGAAAATTGATTGTTTCTAATTGTGGACTACTGCCTCCGAAAAAATATTGGGAATTGTTAGAATAGAACTGACCAGCAATGCCTGGTATTTGATCTGAAAGTGCAGTATTGTAGAGAGAGACTTAAGGATTCATTTGATACCAATGAGACATTTTTAAAATAAAAACTTAAAAACGTTTGCAGTATTTCACAGTTGCTTCAGCCAGCATGCAGAGGAAACATTTTTACAATTATTTAAAGGGAGTGACTGGGTCGTTAGGGCCGTAGTAAATTTGAATTTCTTTTTTGTTCATATATACTAATGTTTGAATGGACTAAAAACTGGTTTGTGAACAGCTGACTTTAGTGCAATTGTACTTTAGTCCTATCGATGCAGCATCCTTTAAAGTGGTTTTTGACCTTAGAAAAAGCTTTCGGCATTCAATATTGGTAACTCGGTTTTAGCGTTTTTATGAAACAATCATAAAATAGTCCGCGTTTGATGTCATTTCCAATATGTGGTCTGCCATTCTCAAAGATATCAGAGATTTTTATTTATTGACAAAAACCATGAAAATGTCTGATTCTGAACAATATCATTGATATCTCGATGGTAATTTTGAAAGCACAAAATTGGCAGATCGACCACATTTTGGAAATGGCAGGACTAGGGCTTTTCTCCAGGGTGCCCAACTTAAAAATGTTAAAATCCAAATTTGTATCTACAATTTTTGTTATAAAACCAGCCCTAAACTAAGATTCCAACAGGACATATCACTTTCTTCACCTAAATTTTAAAACGTGAATTTTATGTATATTCTGATAAACATTGTTTGCAGTATTATAAATGGGATATGTCTTCCTACAAACATTTGACTCTTTTTCATTCTTCTTGTTAAATATGACGTTTTTTTGTACGAGTTTGATTGAGCTGTTTAATATTTCGTATCATGTTTTTATACGTTTTCCTGCTGTCCACTCGTTTATATTGACTAAACTTGAAATCTATATGTAATAAATATTTGATTTAAACCGATCTGTCCAAACATTTTTGTGGTACCTCCCATGATCTGGTGTACTGCATAAGTTCATCTCCCCCAAATAGATTATCAAGTACAATAGGTGGCAAAAGAGAAATGGACCAATCATATATGATGTCACAAGAGTCAAATATAACAAGAAAAACAAGATTTTCTCCCATTAGTTGAAATGTTTTCCAAGATAAAATATAAAAGTGTAAAAACAGAAAATCATGAACACATAAAGTTGCACTTATGTTACTGTAAGATAAGCACTTTATTCTAAAATTATCACTATTATTAATAATTTTCTTGAATACAAATACAAATTTGACACTTGTGACGTCAGAATACAGTTGTACTGAGATTATACCAATTCATCGTTGCCATCTAATGGTAATCTCCACTATGATGCTTAAAACCTTTCAACACAACATAATTTCTTTTGAAAAACCTATTGGGAGCAACCGTTCAAGATTTAATAAGATTTCTCCATTTTCTACATTTAGAGGCATATACTTGTATTTGATTGCATGTAAATATATACTTCTCCAAACACTTATACTTTTTGTTCTTACTAAACTCTTCATTTCTTAGACAATGCAAATAGTACAACATAGTTTATTTATAATTAAACAATATTCATAAGCAATACTTATTATTGGTCCGATTAGTGTATGTGACGACGGCGCTTAATTACTACTTTAGGACAAGAGTCCGAGGACCATAGATTGATAACAATACAGATAGAACACTAGATGTTGACTTTTGAAGATTTAGGGGTTTTTGTTTACAATAACCCTGAGAAAGAAGCCTAAAGGATTTTCGCACTGGCTCTCCTGTCTTGTAATTCAACGCTTTCTGTCGGGAACTTCTTTGGGCTTCGGCCTCAGGGATATTGTTAACGAAAAACCCTTTTACCTTGAATAGACAACATTTAGTGTTCTATCTGTATTGTTATTAATCTATGTCAAGAGCAAAAAAGAAGCCTGCACACAAAAATAGAAGACAGCCATTTTATATGAATTAATCGCGAAAAGTTTTATGTGAATATGGATTATAGATTAGTGCTTAATGATACCTTAAATAGGATCGCATGATTTTTACAATAGCTTTACACACACTGTTCAATGTTAATTTAAATGACATGTTACTTTTTATGTTTGATTTAAAAGTTATAATTATGAATTGTAGAAACTAATCTTTTTATTTGCTCTTTTCCAATAATTTTCAAATTCCTATTCCCAGACTTATAGTACCACTTATTGAAAGGTTTTTAGCTTTCATTTCCTAAAACAGTAAATCAGAATTAAGTTTTCTTTAAATTTTCTGGGACCAGATTTATTGAATAGCCCGAAGTAGCTGAACCCCGTAGATGTATATTTCAACCAGTTATCTTGTGCGCACGGCTAAAGTAAAATGCGCTATTCATTAAATCGTGCCCCTGTTTTCTTTTATAAATAGTTAAATTTTGAACATTAAACACACATCACAATTTTAGATAATTACAATACATTTTTCATATGTTTACAGCTTCTAAAATCATTAAATATGTTTTTCTATATTTTTTACGAGTTTGCGCAGTACGCGTAGCGGAAAAAATTTAGTAATTTTGACTATTTGGAAAAACTATTGAGTAATGAGTATTCCTTTACCATATTACTTAACGTATTTCTTTATGCCGCTTTATAACTATTGGGGAAAACTGTTTGTGAAAAACTATCTGATTTTAGATAAAGTTAGATATGGAGAGGAATCGAGAGCTCCCGGCCCTTCCCTTTCCTATATTACCCTTTCCTTACTTCTTTATTTGCCAACCTTCCTTCGATTTTCTACCTTCCCCTTCCCTAACTACCCAACCTTCCCAATTCTTTTCCCCTTACCTTCAACTTTAACTTCCCTTCCCTACCTTCCTCTTCCCTTCCGTAGTTCCCTAATCCCAATATTCCTCTTTCCCTATCAACTTTCCCCTTTCCCACTCAACCTTACCCTTCCCTGCTTTTCCTCTTCCCTATCTCTTTCCCTAACTATCCGCTTCCCTTCCTATCCACTTCCCTGCTTACCTTTCCCCCAAACCCATCCTTCCTTTTCTTCAGTTGTTACCCTTCCCCTTTTCCTTTTCTTTTTCATCCCCTTTTCCTTTCTTTCCCACGTTTTTCTTTTCTCTTTTATTTCCCTTTTCCTTCCCCTTCCCTTTCCCTTCTTCCCTTCCTCTTCCTTTCCGCTCCTCTTGGGTCTTTGATTTCCAATATGATTATTTACATTACTAGGCTTTTAGGGCGCTTCGCGCCCATCTTCTTTTCAAATTTTGAACATGTTCTTCTTTGTTTACATTTTAAAACAAAGAAGAAAAATTTTTTCCGGATTTTAAAAAAAAATCGCGGATTTTCAAGAATTAAATTTTTTTTACAAAATTAAAAACCTTTAAAACACATTTTTTAAAAAATTTTTTATCATTCATAAACCTTCCCTGTGGTCACGTGATGTCCCACAAAAAAATTGGGCCCGATCGGTTCAGCCGTTTTGACGTTTATTGGATACAAACAAACAGACACCCAAGCCAACTTTATATATAGCTAATGATATATATTCTATATTATGATATTTCATTTAGTTATTTTAGTAAATGTTAAGAATGTTAACAATATTTTCACTTTCAAATTAAAGTTTAAAATTTCAAATGCCTATTTTAGGATTCAAAACTTTTATGAAAGGTTGAATTCGAGATAATTGGTCATTGAAAATTATAAGTGGATTATTTATAAAAATTTGAATTTAAAAAGAACTTTTTAATTAAAAAAGTAAATCCACCCTTCAGCTTCTTTTGATGATGTTTAGTGCAAGGATTTAATGCAAGGAAAGTTATTTCAGAAGTATACGCATCTTTTGTACTACCTAGTGTACTGTCACTGGGCGGTAATGTAAACACAAGACGGATGTTTCAGCCTGACATTGGATCCATCTTTCACATAAAAAAATCAATGAAATATTCTGGTCATAGGAAACTATTATGTGAATTATTAAAATTATCAAAATTTAATGCTTTTAACCTCCCCGGATACTAAACGAACACTGATGCATCTATTCTTGTTTACAAATTCCGCCCAAAGAGAACTGGTTTCAATATGTACGCAGAGTATACACGACCGAAATTAACTTTCCTTGCATTACACCCTTAGTTTAGTGTAGCTTCCTTTATAGTAGTAGTAGCAATGAAGCAATGAATCTAAGGAATGAAGTTTTTCATCACATTCCTCCAATTTAGATTCCTTAGAAGCAATGAAGCAATATATCTAAGGAATTTAGTTTTCTATAACATTCCTCCAATGTAGATTCCTTAGCAGAAATTAAGCAATGAATCTAAGGTATGAAGTTCTCTAATACATTCCTCCACTGTATCCAAGGAATATCTCCAGGTTTCAGGTTCTTTCTTTTTCAGATGCCGTCTACAAATATCAATACACTGTAAATTAGATACAGGAATATGTTTTATATTTTTTTGAAAAAGGTAATAAGGTTCGTTTTGGACAATTATTTTCTCTTAGGGTCAAAATTTGGCATCGTGCAAAGGAAAGCTGTTTAATTCGAACAATTTTAAATTTGTAAAAAAAATTGTTGAACTTGGATGACGCAGATATTCTTGGGGTTTCTATCAAAAAACTCTCCGTTTTATACGAAAATGATTTTTTTAGATATTTAATTTATTGTAATTGGAAGCGACGTAAAAAACTTTGGATTGTAGAAGCTATTTTTATTCTCCACTAAATAAAATTCATTGCTTATACTTGTGCAGATAAAAATGTCCATTACTTTGATAGCAAATTTTTTAAGGTCGTCTTTCCCGCAAGGTTGTTGTTGTTACATTATTCCTGATATTACCAAATAATTAGTTAATCGTCCAAATAGTTCAATAAAACACGGTTAAACCTTTTTTCTAAGAACATCTTTTTTTCTGTGCCTTCCGGAAAATAAAAATAATACGTTTCAAGTTATCTAAAAAATGGTGCAAACAAGAATATAGAGATTTAAACGCGTTGCTGCGGATAAAATGACCAGAAACTCATTTTTTTAGTTCAAAAAGGATCTCTCCGTCATCCTGAATCAGACACAGGTTTAAAAGGTGCAAGTAGTGTACTCTCTGCACTATCTTTACTCTCTGCACACTCTGTACTCTGTGTACTCTATTGTACTCTCTGTACTCTCTGTACACTCTGTACTCTCTGAACTCTCTGAACTCCGTACTCTATGTACTCTTTGCACTCTCTATACTCTCTGTACTCTCTGTACTGCCTGTACTCCCTTACTTTTTCTTAATTTAATAAACTTACTTGAGCATAGTCCTATACTCCTCTTGTATATCGCGGACAGCCTAAAATATAATGATTTTAATATTTTTATTAGGGTTTTACTTTACACCAATACTTTACTTACCCTAGGGTTAATTAGACCAGGTGTATTAGGTTCGTAGAGAATGATGGCAACCATTAAATAATACATCTCAATACCTGACCAAACAAATACTCAAAATACTTTCGAACAATAGAAAATAACATCTTTGCAACCTGATGGTGTAAACCTTTGATAAGGTCTCTAACATGCGATTGCAAATATATGTGAATTAGAAAATCAGTGTTTGTGACAAAGACTTCCTTTGTCACTTTATCAAATTATTTTTAAATCTTCAACATACTTAAAAACTAAAGTTGTTTTTCAGAAATTAAAATCTGTAAAATTTTCAGTTTTTAATAAATTTAAACAAGAAGCTTTTATCTAAATCAAAAAAAGGTTGTTCAGTTTGATCTAAGATTTAACCTAAGTAAAAATCTACTTAATTTAAGTTTTTATTAAATCAAATCAATGATATTGAGCAGTCTTCCTTGTAAGCAGGGTTTCGCAAACTTGTCCATGAACTCGAATATTTTTCTCTTTCTATCGACATCAATGGATAAATGCTGAAAAACAATTTCAGTATTTTCTCGAAAATAAAACAATTGCAAAATTTTGTAGAAAATAACCTATAAATGTTTAGTTCTATGAAACCTTTGAAAAAATATCTGGACTTTTGTATTTATTTTGATCAAGCATTGACCACCATCTTATGCAGATCAATGGATTTATAAAATTCCTCTTCAAAATCCATGATGGTTATACACTGCAGAGATAATTAAAGTTGAGGGTCATACATTGCTCCTTAAATTTTAAAGGGCTCACATTTGATATCAAGATCAAGTATTTAAGATTTACAATATCCACATAGAAGTTCCGACCACAAAGGATGAGACTTAAACGTCGACCTTCAATTCTTTGTTTTGGAAGGATCAGAGTGAGGATTTGAAACTGAAGCGAACCATTAATGGTAGTAGAATCATAGATTAATAAAAATACAGATAGAACACTAAATGTCAACTTTACAAGATTTAGGGGTTTTTCGTTCATAATAACCCTGAGGCAGAGGCCCCAAGGAGTTACGCGGATGCCTTCTCTCTGTCTTTAAATTCAATGCTGCCTGCGCGGAACTCCATTGAGCTTTTACCTCAGAGTTTTTGTGATCGAAAAACCCTTAAATATTAAAAAGACGGCATTTAGTGCTCTTTCTGTATTATTTTTAGTCTAAGGCAAAAATACTGAATAAATTCTCTACAGTTGTCTCTGAAGTCTCATGCTTTTTGGGTAACACTGTACTTGAAGAGATAAAGGTAAAGAAAGTTTCCACTCATGTAGAAACTACTGAAACTGTTCCTGAACTACGTCTTTAACACCTACAGGTCTAGCTCCGTTTTCTTGCCAGATCAGATAATCAGTGGCCCCTAAAATGATGAACAAACAATAAGGTAAAAACGTGGGAGAAATGTTTTTGTAATGGTAAAAAATGTACACTCGTAGATAAAAAAAACCATTTAAATTATAGCTGTTACATTTCTCAAAGCTTAGTAAATTAGGATGCTCATATTTATCTGCTGCATTATGATGCTGTTATAATACCTATTGCATTACGATGCTCTTAATTATCTACTGCATTACGATGCTTTAATTTACCTACTGCATTAGGATACTATTATATTACACACTGCATTACAATTCTTTTACTTACGTACTTCATTTCAATGCTCCTATATACCTACTGCATTATGATGCTCTTATTTACCTATTGCATTACGATGCTCTTAATTATCTACTGCATTACGATGCTTTAATTTAGCTACTGGATTAGGATACTATTATATTACACACTGCATTACAATTCTTTTATTTACTTACCTCATTACACTGCTCTTATGTACCTACTGCATTATGATGCTCTTATTTACCTACTGCATTACGATGCTCCTATTTATCTACGGCATTTCGTTGCTCTTATTAACTACTGCATTACTATGCTTCTATTTATTTATTGCATTATGATTCTCTTATATATTTACTGCATTACAATATTCTCTTATTTACCTACTGCATTACCGATGCTCTTATTTATCTACTGCATTACTATGCTCTAATTTACCTACTTCATTACGTGCTATTATTTACCTACTGCATTAAGCTACAGTTATTTACCTATTGCATTACGATGTTGTTCTAGGGCATCTTTTATGTTGTAATTCCACAAAGTATACAGAGAAACTCCTTTCCTTACATTACATCTAAAAAGGGGTTTATGCATATGACAAAAAAATTTTTAAGGTAGTTGACACAAGAAAAACAAACCCAGCATCTTTAAGAACTCTTTCAAGTTTTAGAGAATTATAATCCCGAAGTTTTACATAGAAGGCCACTTGGCAAGTCAAAACTCTGAGTAAATCTGTGCTCTTTTTGCCGGCAACTAGCAATTGAAAATGGCTGCCAAAGCCGATACTAGCGCCTTCTGATCCCCTAGCGGTTGGTTGAATTTTTAAGGCGCCAAATTCAAATATCTCAGGGATAAAGTTCATAAAATCAACTCACTAAAATTAATTCAAGAGATTGTTAATGAGGCAAACAACATCAGTGTCTAAATTAAAGGAAAACCACGAAAAGATTAAGGAATCCAATTCTTGTCTTAAACAATGATTTTTCAATCCCTATATTTTTATTTGTTATAATTGTTTTTGGTATTTCTTATGATTGTCATTGGTATTTGTTAAAATTTTTTTAGGTATTTGTTATTATTGTTATTGTATTTGTTATTATTGTTATTGGTTTTTTCACTATTGTTCTTGGTATTTTTTATTACTGTTATTGGTATTTGTTATTATTGTTCTTGGTATTTTTTATTAATGTTATTTCTTGGTATTTCTTATTTAAGTTATAGTTATTTGTTACAATTGTTTTTGTTATTGGTATTTATTGTTTTTGTTATTACAATTTGTTATTATTCTTGGTATTTATTGTTATTGTTCTTGGTATTTTTTATTATTGTTATTTTTTTGTTATTATTGTTATTGGTATTTGTTGTGATTGTTCTTGATATTAGTTAATATTGTTCCTGGTTTTTTAAACTTTTTATTTGTATTTTTCATTATTATTTGAAATTATTGTTTTTTGGAATAGTTTTAATTTCCTTCGTATTTATTAATATTGATGTTCTTGGTATTAGTTATTATTGTTCTTGGTATTAGTTATTATTGTTCTTGGTATTAGATATTATTGTTCTTGGTATTGGTATTTGTTACCTGAGAAGGGTGAAGTAGTCTGATTTTGCAAATTTAGTCAGATCATCAAATTCAAACAAATATGCTAAAAATTAAAAGGAATTTATTAATTAATGTATAATTAATCTATAGATGATCTATAATTAATCTTTATTACTCTATATTACTCTATATTAATTTATATATATTCATCATTTATGTTTGTCTAAAGCAAAATTACATTAAACAATATAAAAGTTTACAAACTAATACTCTTTTCTCTGGATATCGCATTTTATAATTGACAGGGTTTGTATAAATTCTGTTTGTTTGCAATTGTTTGCTAGTTTTGATCTCCGATCATAACTCTTGAACACCTGGACCTTACCTCCAATTTTAATTTAGGAACTTGGGAGAACTAAGGACATTTTATTAATCATTCTACGTTAAGTTGATCGACTTTTAAAAGAAAACTCAAGACAAAGCCTTGTTTCCAAGCTAGTTAATTTACAGTATTTTTAAATTTTTGTTTAGTTATCAATTTGTTTGTTTGGATGTCCGATCATAACTTATGAACCCCTTGATAATTTTTTCTTAAATTTTTATTAGGAAATTCAGTCCAACTATAGAAAGGTTAATTGGGCTGGCTTTACTAGAGAAAATTCAAGTTCCAGTAAAAGCTGGGTTCCCAGGCTAGTAATTACATATATATGTTTGCTATAGCCGACCAAACGGCTGAACCAAATTGGATGAACGTTTTCGTGGGACATAGTGGTGACTTAGACTATAAAATTCAAATTTATAAAATTCCACGGCCAGCGCCTGAAGCATATGCTAAATAATTAGAGTTTAATACCAATTTCATGAATGATAATACAGTAAATCCCAGATATATGGACATCATAGCAAGAGCTTTTTAAAGTGTCATAATGTTGTATTTTCAACTATATAAAGATCAAATGCCGCGGAAAAGAACAAGTTTAATATATCAATTGTTTTACTTGATAATTCAGGAAGCTATAAATTTACCTTAAAATAAAAATATAAAGTAGCTTCTGAAGAATTACACTGATATCTTCTTTGTAAAAACATCAAGTACAAGCATGTATTGCTACAGTAAAACCCTTAATAACGAATACATCGGAAGAAATTATCAAATGTCGTCTTTACAATTTTTAAATGAGTTTTATACTATATTTCGTAATTTTTAGTATTTGCGAAAATAAATAAATAGCCATGAATATGCGGGAACAGTTTTAAAGAGCTCCATATAATCATTTAATTAAAAAACTAAATATCTGCAACATTCCATTATCAGAAAGTGAAGAATACGACATTTGATGAATTCTTTCGATGAATTCGTTATTAAGGGTTTCACTGTATAATGTCGTCTTCCTATTCCATTATTTCTGGTTATCACTGTAGAAAAAAATTATGACTCAACAAGGATATTTTAATATATATTTTCATGAATTGTATTCAAACCTGATAAAGCATAACAGCTGCCATAAACTTTTAAATAAATTTCAAGACGAGATTTCATGCGCTCTTGCTATGTACCCTTATATATAAGATCTATTGAATAAACCTGGGCAACCCAGCTAATGATCAACAATCTAGAAGAGTACTAACCTATGAGACGTTTATGATACACTCTGCTTGCAGTTACATGGAATTCTGGGTTTAGAGGAATCTTAAATCCACTTCTACGGAAAAAGTCGAATCAGCATAATTTCCAGTTTTTCATTTTTTTTGCTAAAATAAAAATATTTTTGTGAAAAATCTAGTTCAGAGATTACTTTACCTCGCCCACTGAATATATTCCTTCATAACCTCAGGACCTAAACTGTAGGTGGACCAATGGTCCCAGAACAGTTGGGTCTTAGTCCCTAGACAATAAAATTTCAGGGAGATGTTAAATCCTAAAATATCATAAATTAACCATCAGAATTAAACGGAATGTTATTCAAGTGAGCCTCCATCTGTAAAGTGTCTTTTTCCGGTTGACAGCAGGGCAGGGTCTTATTACTTTAAAACTTTGACTGATCCATGGATGTAGAAATTCAATATTAATCTACAGATACCATTGTAATTTTGTTATTTTGTTAAACAATTGATTTTGAATCTCTTACAAATTTTTTCATACTTTTTCTAATCCATTAAAAGGGATGAAATCTTTGGGTAAGTTTACTCCCCGAAGAACCAGAGAGAAGACGGACCCGGAGAACCAGAGAGAAAAGGGAACCCGGAGAACCAGAGAGATGGGACCCGGAGAACCAGAGAGAAGACGGGACCCGGAGAACCAGAGAGAAAACGGAACCCAGAGAACCAGAGAGAAGACGGAACCCGGAGAACCAGAAAGAAAAGGGAACCCGGAGAACCAGAGAGATGGGACCCGGAGAACCAGAGAGAAGACGGGACCCGCAGAACCATAGAGAAAACGGAACCCAGAAAACCAGAGAGAAGACGGAACCCAGAGAATCAGAGAAAAGATGGGACCCGCAGAACCAGAGAGAAAACGGAACCCAGAGAACCAGAGAGAAGACGGAACCCAGAGAACCAATTGCGCGCAACGGAATTCCGATCGGAAACCCTAAGGACGATAATGTATGTGTTTATACTAACTTAAATAATTGGTCTCCTCTGCTGTGTACACGTTTTCTAAACTTCTCAGATCCAGTGAGTTAACGATCTTCAGCAAGGCATCATCATCTAACATAATAAAAAATACTTAAACTTTTATCATTTACTATCTCAAGCTTGAAACAAATTTGAAAAAAAATGTTTTTAAAAAGTTCTATTACCTATCTTCAAGTGTTCTATTTCCTCTTCTGAAGAATATGTTCCAGAATTGTCAAGTTCTGGTGAAACAATAGAAACTCCGATATCTTCGTTTATCTTGGCTGAACAGTTAAGAACATTATTTGTTTTTGTTTTTTAACAGTGAATTGTTTATTTTGAATTGTTCAAGCATTTATAAGATGCTAATTTAACATGGTTTGTCCTTCCGGTGCTTACCTATCGGGTCAAAAGATGATGTCTTCATTATAACACTGGGTCTGAAGGTGGATTCTCCAGCATTTGCTGATTTCTAAATAAAAGACAACACAACATTTGTTCAGATTATGCCCTCCAACCCCCCCCCCTTATACTCACATCTCGTCCCTTTATACTCACATCTTGTTTGGTATGAGGCCGGAAGGCTTAAAATTCTCGAGGGGTTAATTTTTTTCCCAAAAAGTTTTAAAAGACACCATACCAACATGATTAAGGAAGTTTTGAGCTAAATTAAATCATTGTATAATATATTTTTAATGGTTTACATATATAAAAATATGTCCAAGTTACCTGCAGCTGTACAGTTCCCTCTAATTCAGTCCCCTTGGTTCCTTTTATAAAGATAATAATCAAATAAAAGTTTAGTTGCGCTTCGTTTATGTACAAATCCTTCAGACAAGGAGTATGAAGTAAAATGGAGAAGTGATCGACCCGGCCAGCCCTTTCATCAGATAATGTATGCTTTGCAGACAGGACTCCATTCGAATAAGCTTTCCATTACTATCTGATGTAAAAATACCGCGTACATATTTATTCAGGGTAGGTTATTGCATACATTAAACAGGGGGAAAAGTAGCTTAATAACACCAAACAAGCACATTTTTGTAATGCAAAATATTGGCAATACAAACGTATTTTTTCATCATGTTAAAAATCTTTTTATATAATATAGTTCAATAAAAAACTATATTTTAAAATTAAAAGACGACTTTTAAAACCTTCTTTTCCAAATGGAGTATCGTCTGCAAGGCATGTATAAATCACATGGTAGCGCGGGCCGGGATCGATCCCTTTTCCATTATATTCCATTCTCCTTGGTTTCATATAATTACGCTTCCTTTTGTTCAAATTAATTTAAATCTCAGATTCTATTCAAAAACTAGTTCTTATAGAAACCCCAACTTACGCAGCCAAAATTGATTAAGTTTAAAAAATCTAATGATCGAAACTGCTAAATAAATATTAAATTATAAAACTATAAACTTTATTTTCCGCGGACTTGGACGGAAGCTCTCTTTTTATAAAACTATAAACTTTATTTTCCGCGGACTCAACGGAAGCTCTCTTTTTATAAAACTTTAAACCTTATTTTTGGCTTCATTAAGCCACATATAATGATTTAAACAAAAAAATCCTAAAAAACTTTAAATCTTATTTTTGGTTTCATTAAGCTACATATAATGATTTAAACAAAAAAATCCTATAAAACTTTAAACCTTATTTTTGGCTTCATTAAGCCACATATAATGATTTAAACAAAAAAATCCCCACCCTGGTCAAACGTCCAACATAACTGTTTCTCCGTAATTGTTGAATTAAATAAAGTTAACCATAACTCACCTGGAGGTGAGACGCATGCTATCTTTCCAAACTTCTTGTGATGAAATTCTAATTGTGTATTTATAAACTCTTCTATTTCAGGGTCGTTTTCTATGTCTAGCTTCTCTTCTTCTTCCTCCTTAATAATTGGTTTATCCTTGAAAAAAAAGTTTGATTTTTTTGTTGGGGTAGGGTTAACCAGGGGGTGGGGGTTCTGATTGTTTATGCAAACATCTATATATCTATATTAGGGTTAAGCTGGGGGGTGGGGGGTTCTGATTGCTTATGCAAACATCTATATATCTATATTAGGGTTAAGCAATGGGGTGAGGGTTCTGATTGTTTATGCAAACATCTATATATCTATATTAGGGTTAACCAGGGGGTGGGGGTTCTGATTGTTTATGCACACATCTATATATCTATATATACTTTCCTTGTCTGTCTGTTTGTATCCAATAATATTCAAAACGGCTAAACAGATCGGACCCAAACTTTGTGTGGGACCTCACATGACCCCAGGGAAGGTGTATGGATGATCAAAATTGAAAAATTTTGACTCCAACAAAATTCGATTTTTATTCAATTTTGAAAATTCACAATTTTTAGTTTTGTTTTACAATGTATACAAAGAGAAAATGTTAACAAATAGAAGATGGGCGCAAGCCTAGTATAATAAACCCCAGGAATTCCATTCTATTCTTATTTCTAAAACTTTCTTACTTTGTTGATATTTAAATCTTTGATATTTTTAGACCAAATATATTATACATTCCCCTTTAACACTTAACATTATCTTACATTTGGAACAGTGTTAATGACTGAACTAGGAGAGATGTATCTCAATTCTGGACTTTCATTCCTAAAACACAGTGCAATAAAATGTCAATAAAAAAGATTTTTGTTTGTAAAAAAAATATACAGGGTGAGTCAAAAAAGATGTGATTTGTGGCGCCTGGTGCAAAGCTTACCTTTTGTGTGCAACTCTCCTGTATGGTGTTTTTTCAATATTTTTTGAATTTTTTTTTATTTTTTTGGTAATTCAATATTCCAAAAACCTTTTTTTCTCTCAAAATCAAAAGTTTAGAAAAACAAAAATATGTAAATAAATTGTTTCTATCGAAATCTAAAATTTAAAAAAAATTGAATCACAGAATCTTAGAATATTTGCAAAATTGTAATTAGAAAATTCGCAATTTTTTACGGAAATAATTGTTTGTCAATGGTTCTTGAAGTTTCAACTTAACAGCGTATATTTAATACTTTAGAATATACTAAGATAAAAGGAACTAGAGAATTTAAATAACTTTTCCGTAAAAATTATACCAGAAACAAAAATTGCAAATTTTCTTACTGCAATTTTGCGAATTTTCTGTGATTCTTAGATTCAAACTTTAAAAAAAATTAGATTTTGATAGAAATAATTTATATACACATTTTTGCTTTTCTGAACTTTTGATTTTGAGAGAAAAAAAGGTTCGCAGATTTTCTTTTAGGCCATTGAAGTAACAAAAAAAAAATTACAAACTTTCTAAAAATATTGAAAAAACACCATACAGGATCGAGAGTTGCACAAAGGTACAATTTTCCACCAGGCGCCGAAAGTCACACTTTTTTGACTCACCCTGTATATTTTCTTTTTATATGGAGAAGGTTCAATGATTAGATAATGAATTTAATAGTCTCAACTATTTTTTTCCTAAAAATAACTTACCTTTCTACATGAAAGGATTGTATAGTTGATGAAGCTGAAACTCGTGTTTGTCTTATTGGTCCATCATTTACAGGTTTCAGGCTCAGTGGTTGATGGGTGTCATAGACAGAAGTAGCAAATTGTCCAATGTATGGGTTGATGACGGGAACAGGATCAAGAAAGGGATTTCTTCGGATAAAAGTCTCATTGGGATAAGGGACAGCAGAGAAGGGAAAACTTGAAATAGAATATTTCATTGAATCAATAATATTAGATATGTTTGAATCATTCCGGACACTATTGAGTATAGCATTTGATGTCCAATCTCCATCTCTGATCTCCTTTCTTACTGGATATAAGAATCCTGAAGGCACATCAAAATTTGATGTTGAGGGTGTTTCTGTCAAGTAGTTCCTTTTCAAACTGTTTGAGCTCATGCTGAACTCCTGCTGACTCTGCAAGGGAGCTTGAAGAGGAAGGTGAATACCCTCTCTTTGCCCCAATCCGACATTATCACTCTGAGGCTCATCTTGTGGCTCTTCAACATAACTTTTCAATCTTTTATTGTTAGATTGAATGTTTAAGTGACCTAGACTTTTAGGCAATGCAAAATCTTGAATTTTACTTACTAAATCTTTTCTTTTTGGACTGTTCAGATCTAGTGATTGATTATTGTAGCTTTTTGAATTTGCTCCAAAGTTAGGATTGAGCCAATCATGCTCCTCCAGAACATAAGGCCTTTTAACAGATTTTGTATCCCTATATTTGATTTTGGGCTCTTTTCTCAATACAGATGGATGACCATGTTTGGATAGATATCTATGTATGTTTGGTTGGCCATGTGTTGATGAATGAGCATGTGTTAAAGTATCACCATGGGTGGAAGAATTGCCATGAATGTTAGGATATCTAGGAGAAGATTGGTATCTCTGTACGGGTGGATTGCTCTGTAAGAATGGATATTCTTTTGCGGGTGAATGGCCCTGTAAGGATGGATATTCTTTTTCGGGTGAATGGCTCTGCAAGGATGGATATACTTTTGTGGGTGAATGGCCCTGTAAGGACGGATATTCTTTTGCGGGTGATAAGCCCAGTAAAGATGGATATCCCTTTGTGGGTGGATAGTCCTGTAAGGATGGATAGTCGTGTGTGAAAGTACAGCCATGTTTGAATCTGTGGCTAGACATAGATGGAAGATCATGTCTGGTTTCAGATGATTTGCCCTGTTTTGATGAAAGGGTTTGCTTGGATGTACTGGCAACATCAGAAAAACTTGATTCTACAAGGATGAAATTATATTAAAACACAAAATTTACAAAAGTTTAAAGTTTTAGCATTGCAAATGAAAAATATAAGCTAAACAAGAGCAACATGAAATTTATGCCATACAAAAGGGTTAATCTATTTTAAATTCATCAATCTTTTAATATGTAATACTATTTTTTATTATTTTATCGTTTTGATTTTATAAGAAAACAATAGAAGAATAAGCTTTCAACGTTATTGAGAAGGAGTACTAACCTGTTCCATCAATTCCATAAAACCCCTTAAGCACAAAAGAGTTTTTTGGTTCAGCTCTTTCTGAATAATTTACGACATGTTCTTCAACTGCAGCATAAACTGGTTCACCAGGTTTTACAGAAATTGGACCTAATTCTTCTGGAATCAAGAGATAATTCTCGTCAACTTCTTCCAAAATCATAAAAGGATCTTTATCAGCTGCAACAACATGGGGGGTTTCATCTTGACTGTTGTCTTCATGCTGATCCTCATGCTCCTCTCCCGCATTATTTTCAATTTGTTTATTATCAACCTCTTGTGTATTATTGTTTTCTTTAAAATCTTTTTCAGCTTGTGAATTTGTATTTTCCAGGATATCATCTTCCTCTGGTGCTTCAACATTTTCTCCAATATCATCTTCATTTTGGGTATCTTCCTGGTTATTATCTTCAGCTTCAGCCTCAGCTGACTTTTTCTCTAACATTCTTCGAAAGCGAACCTGGAAAAGATATGATTCATTAAAAAGGGCCAATAACTACGTTTGGTACAACGTGTCTCTGAAAAAATGTTTTTAAGCTTTTTGGTATACTTTGCATCGTTTTTATGTACTAAAAGTACAATCAGTTATAATACCATTAATTAGAGGGTTCTCAATGGAACATTTTGCTCTGAAATGCTGTCGTAACCTTCAAAAGTAGGCAAAATATGTACTCCGTCTTTTTTACAGATTTTCAAAAAAAATTCAAATATGATTGTATTTTTGCAACTTAGATAGTTTACATAGAGTAAATTGCACATTTTTAACGATAGAATTGCGGATCTTTAAAAAGAAATGATTTAGAATGTTTAAACTTTTTTTTAAAAAAACCTTTGGAAAAGGAACGAGTAGGTTTCGAGTAAAATTAAGTTTAAGACGTCATTCTTGAGCATAATGNGCAAGGTATACACTGTTTTCTCACTTTATATGTGATTATACACTGTCTGAACATTTACTTTACCTGCAAGGTATGCACTGTTTTCTCACTTTATATGTGATTATACACTGTCTGAACATTTACTTTACCTGCAAGGTATGCACTGTTTTCTCACTTTATATGTGATTATACACTGTCTGAACATTTACTTTACCTGCAAGGTATGCACTGTTTTCTCACTTTATATGTGATTATACACTGTCTGAACATTTACTTTACCTGCAAGGTATACACTGTTTTCTCACTTTATATGTGATTATACACTGTCCAATCTTTTTGCAAGGTTTTTCATCACGCTGACTCAATCGTCTAAAAATATTGTCAGAATAATTCTTAAAAAGAAAAACATCCTAGGTTAACCGCAAGTTTTTCATTTTTATCTCATTCACAGGGGTTTAATTAAAGAAATTTTAAAGATGGGGAAGTTGATGTTCTAATCAAGACAACAAACGTGTCAAAATGATAAAGAGAAGATTTGTTTTAAACTCTAAGACACTTGAATTGAATCAACATGTATTAGTGCGATGAATGTATTCCTGAACTGAACATATTTTGATTATTTAAAGCTGACTTTTTTATTTTCCTGATGAATGTATGTTTCCTATTCGGTAGTGGTTAAAATATGAAGTTTGTTGAATACTTGATTAATCATTTACCCCATTAAATGGATTGGCGATGTCGTTGAACTACCTATCTTCGGTTCAAATCCTCAACCAAAAATGTTAAACCAACAATACAAATTCAAATCCTAAATCATAGATTCAATTCCTCATGAAAATTTTTACTTTGAACCGCTAATTCAAAATTTGAGCCAGCACGAGGTAGTTCAGTGACCTAGTTCTTAAATTCATTAAATTAGGTCCCTAATCCCTGAAATTAATCATGATTTAAAAAAAGAATAAAAAAACCTGAAGAATGCTCTGCAGGAATAGCAAGTGACTCCTCCGTAATGAACTCGAGGTTTAGGCAGAAACTGTTCACAAACTTGGCAAAATGTGTCAACTTTACTCTCTTCATTTCCTTCCATTTTTCTGAAAAATTGAAATAAAATAACAAATTTCACAATGCTTATGAGCATAAGAATATGGTTTAAATTGTTCATGGCTTTACAAAGATCATTTCTGACATATTTTTGTAGTTAAGTCAGATCTTTATATTCCTCCCTAAAAATAGATCTTTATATGCCTCCCTAAAAATAGATCTTTATATGCCTCCCTAAAAATAGATCTTTATATGCCTCCCTAAAAATAGATCTTTATATGCCTCCCTAATTTTAGATCTTTATGCCTCCCTAAAAAGTTGTAAATGCTTATTTCTGAATATAATCCAGGTAAAGTAAAAAATTGCAATTTAAATTTAGTATTTATTCAGACAATAATTTTTCTATATTTCCATTTGTTTAATTTACACCAGCCAGCATGATTTTTCCATCTAAGGAGTTGACTTTTAGCCACAAACTCTAATTAAAAATCTCTATATCTTTGCAAACTGATGGTGTAACCCTTGAACATTTTTAACTTACTATTTTGTTAGACATGACAATTTGATCTAACAGAATTTATAGTTGGAAACAATAAAGGGAGTGTTTCCAAAAAATGAAGACTAGCTTCGACTTTTCTGACTTTCTAGTCGACAAAAATATAAGGAAGATTGGAATCTCGGTAACTTGATGTCTAATTTAGCCTGCAACCTGACCAAAAAAGTTATACCAAAATTTACAACACATGTGTTACCCCTCCCATTCTTATTTCCCTCTTTTTCCTTTTAAGCCAATTGATGTCCATTTTAGCCAGCAACTTGACTATAAAAGTTAAACCTCAATACATCATGATCAAATATCAAACATGTTTTCAGCTGTGGGAAAATGTCCTCTCCCCCCCCCCTTGTTGCACGGCTACAAGCTGTTTTAAAATTTGCATGTCTATATAGGTTGTATAAAAGCTAACTTAACACTTAAATCTGGACTAATATTAGACTTATAGCTTGAAGTAAAAGATTTCTTTTCACTACAGGGAGTACACAAAAATTTTTGTTTTAAGATTTCCCTGATTGAAAATTGCCCCCCAAAAAAATGAAATTTGCCCCTGAAAAATAGTCTAAGATTTTTCCCACCAAAACTTGCCCCAAACTAAAAATAATATAAAAAAGGTTTTAGTATTTTTTTCATGTTTGAGTTTAAACATTTTTTTGTTCATTTGCACTAAAAAATGTTCATTTTTACTAATTAGGTTTAATGTGAAAAATGGTGAAATTTTAGTTTGATTGAGCTATTTTGTTAATTTACCTTAATTAGGCCGGTAAATGTGCAAAATGGTGACAGACAGCTAAGAGGACGAGCGATGCGGATAGTACAGGCTAGGGGGGCCAAGCGCTACGGCTAGGACATGCTAGGGAGCCAAACGCTGCGGCTAGGACAGGCTAGAGGTGGGCGCTACGGCCACATGACCAATAATATCAATGTGATATTTTTGAGAACTATAAACTATAAATTATTCACAGAATAAAAAAGTAAGTCCGCTTGAACAAATTTTTGTTGGACATGTTCATTTGCACTAATTAGAAAAAAAACTAAACAATCTGTTTTTAACTTCAGTATGAGATCAAAAGCAGGTTATGGCGTAAAAATAGAATTTTAAGTAAATCTCAATTTGGCTGTGTTACTAAGAACTTCGTGAATTAAAAAGTAAAAATGAAATCAATTCATTCACAACGGAGAACTCCGGGCTGAAAACCAGGACATGGTGCGGACTTGAAACTTCAATTCATTACTGGAGCCTTAGGCCATTCCTGCAATTTGTGATTTGATTAGATTTGATTTGATTATCTTTTGATAATTATTCATTTTGTAGAATAGAATAAAGATGGAGACAGAGGAGCTTCAAGTCCTTCAAGGCAAGGAATATCCAGAGATCCATGGATATGAATTTCATGATATGGAGACAGGCAAAGGAAGTACACCAAATTTAAATATTAATTAATTTAATAAATTCAAATTAATTTCTCATTCTTTCTCATCCTTCCTTTCTCATCGTTTCTTTCAACACAATTTTAGTCATCAAAAAAGATTTTAAGAAATTTAAAATGATCAGTGTCCGAATTTAATGAATTTAAGCCGCGTCTCAAATCCCCCAAAACCGGTTAAAATTGAGCGCCGGCTTAAATCTTGAAATTCTGAATACAATTTTAAGTGGAACCAACCATTTTTGAGCCGTGGCTTAAATTTAAGCCGTGCAGCTCAAATTTTTTAATTTACAAAAATAAAATGCACATATATAAGTTCTAAAATGTATTATTGTCCATGGGGGGGTGGGGTCCAAAAATCGTTCTCTAGGAATATACCATAAATTGAGATATTTTCCAAAAAAAAATAATTATATTTTAATTTGAACAATATTTCATATTTGGGATTTACAAAAGGATATATATGAATAATATTCTCAGTTAAAAACGTAGGATTTTACGAAACAATTAACAATCAAATTAAAAAATGTGTTATAAAGTCTAAAACATAACGTACTTCTGTCTTGCAATACATTAATATTATTTGGAACTTGTTATCATACACTGAATTTTGACTGTTTAACGTTTATCAAAAATATGTCTTATTTAACTTAAGTTGTGCCACCTTCATTCACTTGCTTTCAACTTTTGTGTACTTGTAAATTGTATCTGTTTGTGTATACAGTCGTCAATAGAATTAGTTTGTGCTCAATGAACCCTGACAAACCTGTTAGTTGTTCGTAGTCCTTTCCACTTCTATGCAGCGAGGGAGGGAACCCCCAGACGCCATGAACCTCCGCTTTGTAGACACAAGCCTCCTAGATTTGCTAGGCAGACCGAGCCTCCACCACACAGCAAAGCTTTTTTTTAAATCATGGTTTTTATGTTTAATAGAATATTTTAACATTTTTTTGATGTAGTGGCATGAGAATTTTACTAAAGATTAGAGTTATTTATTGATTGTCATGATTAGTCTGGGTTTTTTTTGCTCTTTGAGTTTTTGCCTCATGCAAAACTCCTAAAATATCTGTGTTTTAGCCTTCATTCATTTCATTTTTTTCTTCATTTTTTCATCGTTCGTGAAAGACTCATTTTGTTCGTTTTTTGTTAAAAAAAATGTTGTTTTTAAGTAAACGCCTACTCCATAACAATTTCTCAAACAAGTATCTATCCAGGTACAACTCAAATTCTCTTGACTATCAATGTCAACACACGGCTACAATCCCATGAACTATCAACGCCACTCATTTTAACTTAACAGTCCCTCTAAAAGCTTAAAAGATGGGTGGTTTGGTTTTTTTTTCATTCGTTCATTGTTCGTGAACAACTCATTTTGTTCGTATTTTAAATTGTTCAAAAAACTGTTGTTCCTTCTCAAAATTTTCGTTCATTTTGCATCTATTTTATTCATTTACTCACTGCTGGACACTGACCAATGGTTCTGTAAAATCGTTTATTTAAAAAATTGTTTGTTCAGATAAAAAACTATTGTTTTTTCAAAAGTGTATTCGAAAAAAATGT